CTATATAGTCTAGATATTGGAGATGTTATTGTGCAGAAGTATTCAGGAAAAAGTTTTTGAAGATATTTGGAAAAATAAATCAAATTTTGATAATGACCCTACTTGTCTTTGATAGGCTTTATCTGTCCTACTATGCTATAACTTTATCTTAATCTATGTAGTCAAATCCTGAGTTATGAAAAATAACTCTGTATACCTATTAAGATCATAGATAATATGGTTTGAGGTTTTTTTTGCCCCCTAGTACTAAGTTAGAATATTTCCCTTATAATCAGAAAATACTGGCTACATTCGTTGGCTGTGCTTTGGAACACAATCTCTGGAAAAACTGTCATCTGCAAAAATCAGAAAGAGAAGGCCATGCACATAATAGTTTCTGCAACATGACGACATTCTAAAAACCAGAAATGATGTGTGAAAGATTTAAAAAAACAGCAAAAATGTATTTCCATCTACCCTAGTTAAATCTTCCTTGAAAATAGAGATAAGAAACAAAAGAAAAAAAGCCATTCCTTTTAGAAAATGAGTCTTTAAGCTAGAGGTTGGTTTATTTTGAAAAGGAATTAGATTCTGGAGCTACACACCACACATCCTAAATATAATGCAGTGGTTTCATCTCCTATCAAATATGTTTCTATGGCTTAATCAGAGAGAACAGTTAACAGGGAGCAACCCAGGAAGGACTGATCTAACTCAGACATCAATAATTCATTTATCAGAAATAGAGTAGTGGTATGAGATGCCAGGAGATTGTTTTGTTTGTAGGGAGGTATTTTTTATTTTAAGCCCGTAAGAATGCAAAGCTGATATGAATGAAGGCAAAGCTAACTCAGAAGACAAGGTTTTATGGTCTCTTCTCCTAGTGTTATTTCTTTAGCATCAGTTATTGGGGTTTGATATACCTCAAGTTATTGGGACTTCAAAAAGTGACAAGTAAAAAAATTTTATGACAACTTTTATACTTCAGAGGTATTTCCATCACTCCAAAGCTTTGGCACCAGAAATGTAATCACAGGAGACTAACAGAGATCATTTGCATGAGGTTTTGAAGGTACACTATATATGCTCCATTATCCCTGAAAATCCTTCAGGCATTAGAGTTTCTTACTGTCATCTCCAAGTTCAACCCATGAGTAACCTGTATCATTTCATATTATACCCAAGCACTTGGCACAGAACCACTTCACACAGCAAGGTCTCAATGAATACTTGTTGAATGGATGAACAAATACATCCAAGCATGAAGATTCCAAACATGCTCTGAAGCCACTCTTCTGATTGAGCAATGTGCAGACATTTGCATATCATATGCCTCAACTTCCTGATTCCAATGATGACTAGAGATTTCTCACATTCACCATCTTATTTCCAATTTAAGCCCTCATACTTCATGGAGGTAGGTGGGAAAAAACAGACTGCGGACTGAATGAGTCACACCTTCCAGCCCTTAAACAGAAAAATCTAAACTTCTAACCCTAGAAGAAAAAGACTTGCAAGTCTTAATTTAGATTTGAAATGTTCATATGCACACATATTTTGAGATAATTATAATTTTTAACTGATTATAAAGAATTAGGTATATGAGTAGAACACATAATTACAATGATAACAGTTATAATTATCTACTACTTATTATGTACTCAGCTTGGGGTTCTACACATTTTATTGTTATTCTTTAGATGTAAGTATTTTTATATAATTTTAGGGATTAAAAAAATACCAAAGCCCAGAGTAATTAGACCCAAAGAATGATAAAGCAAATCACTCCAGGAGATCCAGGGCTAAAAGTCAATTCTTCCAAATTACAAACCCACTCGTAATTCCTAATGCTATGTGAGTTCTATCCAAACAGAATTATCCATTTATGGATCCACGCTTGAAGACAGATCTATCAATCATGTCTATCAATGTGGCCTCAAAGGCAGAGAGGATATTTTAACCACAAATGCCTGAATACATGCTTTTGATCAGTCAAGATTAAAAACAAAACAAAACAAAACAAAAAAACAGAGCTACTGAGAGGAGCTAAAGGGACATCAGGAGACAGCTAACTTCCATAAACAGAGGTATGGAATGCTGGTTCGAAAATGCCATATTTCAGTGTCAAAACTACAAACCTAAGCACACATCTGGAACAATGCTGGGGTCCTCCAGCAAACTCCCACTGCACTCAATGAACCATGAAGAGTGCTTAGAATGGGTCAAAACAGGACACACTAGAACACCCTAGAGAGAGCATGACCTCCGGGATTCTTCATGAACAAAAGTCTTAAACAAAAGTCTTGGGGAGTGGCCAAGTTTTAAAGGAATCCTTACAAAGAACCAGATTGTAAAAGAGAAGTGTGTAAAAGCCATCAGAGTTGGTCCTCAAAGAATGTCTATGCATAGACATCATGGTTAGCGAGGTTAGCCAGAGCAGACACACCCTCAGAGAACAGTTGCCATCCCCAGTGAGAATTTCAATGCGGAAACCACCACACACGGGTTTAGATACATACAACTAGTTACAGGGATTAGCACATTGGTCTTAGGTTTCTACCTGTTCCTTTATATTCTGCACAAGAATTACTTTAGGTGTTAACATGATCTAGACTTTCTTCTAGTTTTCCTGCTCTCTTTTGACCATACAATTATTAATGCGATGAATTTAGTGAATGGATATAACAGTTCTGCTATAATATATGCCTTAAAACACCAACTTTATCCATCCAACATGATTGATATATACGGGAATATTCTGAGCATATGTGAAATCTGCATTTGCTTAGATAGGATTTTGTCACAGAGACTCTAGGTGAATGCAGAAAACACGCCCAGATGAACCGAACCTCATAGGAGTACATAAAACACAAAGAGCTATGCGTCTTAGAGGCACAGCAGTCCACACTTAGCCACATCTGGTACTGCAACTTCTCTGTGTGCTCTGATAACCCTCCTTCCACTCCTCCCCATAATAACTGGCAATCTGCCATTCTTCTGACAAGGGCCATCCTAGGGTGGGAGACATCGCCCTCCATTCTGCTTAACTTTAACCTCTTTCTCTCTGCCTGTTGTATATTTTTCCTGTTTATTCTATGTCTTTTATTCTTGGTTTTCACATTGATCTCTTCTTCTCTTACTCTTTTTCTCTTGTACACAGGGTAGAAAGCAAATGAGAATAGATATAATGAACATAAACTTCTATAGGCACACGTCAGGTTCTTGTTCATGGTTAAGTGCCACTTTTAAAGTAGTTTTAATTATTTCTTAACTACCATTTTATTAGATCCCTATCGTGTGTGTGTGTGTGTGTGTGTGTGTG